AGCTAAATTTCATTTTCAATATATTAGAAGCTCTCCTTTCCAATTCAATCAGAAACAGTTGTTCATCTGTTAAAGAAAAAAGTCAAAACGGGATTATAGAAACAGGAGAGAGTGAGTGAGTGAGAGAGGGGAATAAATATTTTAACAAAACATATATATGTATATGCGTATGCATACGCAAAGACACACACACACACACCCACACACACTCTTTACATGCTGAGTGTTTTATAAAAGGCCAAGGACTTTTCTATGGCTCTGACTACTGCCAATCCATGTTGTATTTTTTGCATGAACCACATCCATTATGCATCATCTAAAATTTCTAGTTTTTCATTTCTTTGAAGAAGAAATTTCAGGATAATTGTTGAGCAGCCCGAGTGGAGGATCCTTCTAGGGATGTTTGTTTGTTTTTTAAGTTATTTATTTATTTATTTAGAGAGTGAGCAGGGGGAGGAGCAGAGGGAGAGGGAGAGAGAGAACCCCAAGCAGACTCCATGCTGAGTGTGGAACCTGATGTGGGGCTCGATCTCATGACCCTGAGATCACAACCTGAGCCAAAATCAAGAGTTGCATGCTTAAATCACCTGAGCCACCGAGGCACCCCGGGATCCTTCTAGGTTGTTATCATATTATTCCTGTTGTTATTTCTTCTATAGCTGTCTCTCTGACATCTGAAATTAGAAAAAGGGTTTGTTGTGGTAAAATATACATAAATTTAACCTTTTAACCACTTTTTAGGTATATAATTCTGTGGCGTTAAGTACATTTACAATGTCATACAACCACTACCACTCACTATTTCCAGAAATTTCCCATCATCCCAAACAGAAACTCTGCACCCATTAAATAGCAACTCCTCGTTTTCCTTCCCTACCACCCCTAGTGACTTCTATTCTGCTTTCTATCTCTATGAATTTGCCTATTCTAGGGGCCTCATGGAAGTGAAATCATATATTATTTGTCCTTTGGTGTCTGGCTTAGTTCACTTAGCATAATGTTTTCAAGATTCATCCACATTGTAATGTGTCAGAATTTCATTCATTTTTATGGCTAAATAATAATCTGTTATGTGTATACAGTACATTTTATTTATATTGTTTGTGTATCTATTGATGAACACTTGGGTTGTTTTCACTTTTCAGCTATTGTGAGTAATGTTGCTATGAACATTGGGGTGCAAGTATCTGTTTGAGCCCTGCTTTCAGTTCTTTTGGTTATATACCTAGGAGTGGAATCACTGAATCAAATGGTAATTCTATGTTTACCTTTTTGAGGAACCACCAAACTGTTTTTTTTTTTTAAGTGTTTTTAAAGCAATTTGTACTGAAGACTTTACAAAGCATTCAACTTGGTTTTCACAAAAGCAACAACACTCTTAAATATCGGGCCTGCATTTTATAATTTCTAGACCATTTGATTCCCCTGGATAATTACAATATCAAGTCCAACTAGCATACACAGGTTGAGAAACATATACAGTTGATATTTGCTAAGCATACAACTCAACGGATAAGACCAGAAGTTCTCGAAACATACTAGAGAGTAGTTTTCCAGCAATGAACCCCAGCATAAACCAATATATATTACAGAACAAATGGAGAATACCGATTAATCTGGCTAGTTAAGTGGAAGCCAGTTAAGAGAGCTTCTAGTTTCAACTAAACTATCTTTGTCATGATACGATGTGTAGAGGAATTTAGAAGCAACTCTGACTCTGGAAAAAAACAGCTGCATATCCACGACTGTTCATGTTCAATACACTTGTTGGGAGACTGGAGAAAGTTGACAGCAAAGGCTAAAATGGAGTGGGAAGTTGACTGACTGTATAAACTCTTGAATTGGAGGAAGTCCTAATCGATAATAGCAGGGGGTTGATTTTCTTCCCTTCCAGTTTAATTTTGTGTGGGTGATAAATGGAAGATAAACAGGGAATAGGGAGGTTGTGCCTATTCTTAGAAAGAAGTTACCTTTCAAGTTAAGATTTCAGGCTTTGAGATATGATTAGAAGGTTTTCTAGGCAGTTCTGAGACAACACCACGAAGCTGTAGGAGGAGTACTTTTATAGAGCATCATTCATCCTAGTTAGTGACCCAAGTGATTAAAGGTTTGGGAAATTGCCCCTCTAAATGTGGGCTAAAGGAACAGGGTTTATTTAGCTTAGAGAGAGAGAGTGGGCATGCTGAGGGGGACTTAATAATAGTCTCCAAGAATATGAAGGATAGTCTTTGAGTGATGGAAAGCAGCTGTTTCCTGTTTCCACTGAGGACTTGGTAAGAAAGAATGGAGTTCAATTGCAACAAGTGAGTTTAAGAACTCCTTGGCCATAAAGTTTGAGACAGCAAACCCACAAGACCAAAGCCACCTCTCTGTTTCAGAATTGTGCAACTAACTAGCTGTCGTTCTTGGGTGGTTTAAATGGGCTTGTTCTTGAACTAGCAAAAAGACATAGAGAATCAATCAGTCAGGTGAGAATATGAAGTTGTCCACTGTTAGAACCTACTGGTGTTTTGTGGCCGAGGAAGCACTTATTAGAAGATGAGATTTAAGAAATAAAAAAGTTTCAGAATCTTTTTGCTCCCTTTTGGTCTGCTTTTAAAGCAAGATCATCTAAATTTACCCCTTCTCTCTGAGGTGAAAAATTTCCATAGATTTGCTGGTATGTGCTTTTTCTGCCCATTTGGTCAATACAGTCATTAAAAAAATTCTGTGTCTTCAGTGATATTTATATCAGAGATAGATATCATAGATATTTGATGTATTATATATACATATATATAATATGTAATTAATACCACAACGAAAGCAATGTTTTGTTCTAGACATTGTGTCTAAGTGTTAGGGATAAGAAGATAAATAAGACATACACTGTGCTGATTAGGAGCAAAGCAAATATAAAAGCATTATGAAATAATGCATCAATATAGGAGGTACACTAGGGGAAAAAATTTAAAATCAGAAAAATGCATTCTGGATTTGCTACCAATTTTTAAGCAGCGAGGCAGAGGGAACTGCCTGTGAAAACTTCGCAACCATTGTTTTATAATTTTTATCCTAGGTTAGGTTAATTATACCATTTATTATGAATTGGATACATGGTGTCTTATTTGTCCAACTGGGAGTGTTTTCAAGGCAAGGTTTTATTTCCAGAGGATTGGGCTGCTGTGAAGCTGTATCTTTAAAGTTACAGGTTTATGAGCATTAACTGTGTATACATTCCACAAGTTATATTTCCATCTTGTACCAACATTTATTTTATTCTTATTTAAAAATCTTTACTTCTATCACTGAATGGTTTTTGGTTACCTGGAAGGGGGTAAGGATGAACTGTGATTCAAATCTGACCCCCATAACTCTTTGGCTTCAAAATCCAGCACTGAAATGGGGAAATTAGGGGTTTGCCTTGAATCCTCTCGCCCTATGTGTTCACCACGAGGCACTGAGTGAGTTACTGAACCTCCCCGAGACTCAAGTTTCATTAATCTACTTTACAGGAATGTTTTGAGGATGAAATGAAATGAAATAATGTGTGCCAAGCCCAGAGTCCAGTGCGCCCAGCCCTCAAGCCATGTTTACCTGCTTCCTTTAATTCACCAAGAACATCTCTCCCCTGTGGTAGAATCATGATTGCCTCTAGCTTGCCTTCACTTAGTGGGGTGTGTTGACCCTCAGGGGCAAGACCTGGAGAGTAGGTTTTGTCTAAAATTCATTGAGGGCCCCCCAAAGTTCCATTGTGAGAATCTCTTTCCTTTCTTAAACTTACTTCATCCAGAAAAAACGTCTATCCTAATGCCAAATATTTTAGGAAGCATTTGTTGCTGAATTATCTGAACGAGTCATGTATGCACATGGAAGAAAAGTCCTTTTAAAATCAGCAGGAAGATTATGCATTTTTGTTTTGCAGGGTTGAAAGAAGAGTACGTAAGGCTTCTAGATATTCAGTCATTAACCGACACTGATTAAATTGAGTGCTGTGCCTGGGAATGGCGTCAAATTGAAGAGACGTGGTCACTGCCCTGGGGAAGCGTAGGAACTTGTTGGAAAGACCAGCCCACTTGTATGAAACGAGCCCAGAATAGTTAGACTCAATGTCGGGAAGGGCAGTATAAGCCCCTGAGTACTGAGGGAAGGCAAGATACAGGTTTGGGTAGGGATTTAATAGAGCTCTAGGAGACTTGAGATCTTGGTTTGACTGGCTCATAAAACACTCTCATTTAAAGACAGACAGAATTTTTAAAAACCACCTGAAGTGTTCACTTCCTATAGAAACCCAAGAACCTACTGCAGTTGCTCTTCACATATTTGAACTAAATGAATCCTTCTAAAGTCTCAGTGTTCAGGCTGATTGGCTTTCAGAGTCTCACTCACACTATGCCAGACTGCTCCTGCCCCAATTCATTCTTTGTCTGTGGGATATGGAATATCTCTATCAATCATAACAAGTCACATGGAGACTAAAAACCCCAGCTAGACACTTACCTCAAAAGCTGAGGCATGCCACATATTGTAATGTGGGTGGATTTAGGAACCAGGGTTGGGACATTTTTCTCTATATTAGAAGGAGATTTATAGGTCAGGACCTTTAGAGGGTGAGCATGGGTCCTCTGGACCTCTCATCCTGTCCCTCCCCACCTCCCAGCTCCCCAGATTAAAAAGCAGAACAACAAAACCGTTAACTTAATAGCATAGAATTTATGGCTGAAATCTTACAAAGCTTATGTCAGCAAAGTAAAATAATTACTGTCACTTTCTCTTAGACACTTGGCTTTATGGTTCCTGTCACCTTTATCATAACACACAGCTGACTTAGTAGCTCTGTTTTTTATGGCATGTGGCCTGGTGTTATGCTTTTATGCACACGTGCTATGGGATGACAATACATGGGTGTACCAGAGTGGAGCTAAGTTTAGATAATGAATTGGAATACTGTTAATGGTTTTGGGTTAGTCATGCTGACCTTATGCCAGCTGAGCTTGTTCCCTCTCTCTCTCCTTCTCCAGATTCTCAAATCCAAAGATTTAACGTCTCCAACCCAGCGCTACATTGACAGCAAAGTCGTCAAGACGAGAGCAGAAGGCGAATGGCTTTCCTTTGACGTGACTGACGCCGTCCATGAATGGCTCCACCATAAAGGTTACAGCTGCCCTCTGTCCTCCTCCCTAGATGCTCAGTGACCCCACGTTACTGTAAGTTGATTGCAGATTTAAGGGTATTGTCACACCTCCAAATGACCTCCTTGACTTAATGTTTTCCAGACAGAAACCTGGGATTTAAAATAAGTTTACACTGTCCCTGCTGCACCTTTGTACCATCTAATAATTACATCATTCCCAATAAAAGTGAAGAGCTAGAAGCAAGATTTGCAGGTAACTGAAACTTGGTCATACGAGATGGGGCAGGGAAGGGTCTATATTCATGATCTCATGGGGGATGAAGTCCGTTTGCATGTGAGGAGGGGATTATTGGGTGAGGCTGGGGAGTTGTAATCGTCTGGGTAAAGATAAGGTTGGAGAAAGATATATGAAGGCAGAAGGGATTGGGACCAAGCAATTGGTTCCCTGTTTACGCTGCTCCTTGCCCAGTGATGACTTGGCAGTACTAACTGACTGATTCATCAACTTTCCAAACTATTAGTCAGGTAAGCCCTTTATTCTTCATTCAAGCAAGCCAACTTTCCAGCTATGCTGATATTACAGCAGAAGATAGCATACATTCAAGGACACCCATTGATAATGCCCCAGGTGCAATGTCGGGAGACCTACAACCATATTTCACTTGGGAAGCCCCTCATACCATAGCCTCCTTACCTCACCTCCCATGTATCAGAACACTCCACCATTTCTAGCTGGTGCCCAGTATTTCCGGTGGCTGCCTGATCAGACTTTTGGAATAATTTATAAAGACATAACGAGGCTTTAGTTGTTCCCTGTTCCTGCTCACCTCTTAGTGATTAGCCAAAGGTCAAGGAGAATGAAGAGATGCCAAGGGTTGGAGTTGCTTCTCTTATTAGCTAACCAGTTCGATTGATGAGAGGTAAAGAGGGATGGCTGCCATGTGCTCGTGCCACAGCGGCTCCACACCAGCATGCCAGGGAGCTGATTTCCCCTCCCCAGCTACCACCACCCAGGACTTCCGTCCACTTGCAGAAGGCTACGGTGGGCCCTTGCTCATGGAAAAATACTCCCGGAGGTCTAGAGATTTTTTTCAGTCTCTAACCTAGCCATGATTCTCTAGAGTGTGGAGATTAAGTGCTTAAACTGGCAGTCTCTTGAGCATGCTTTGGGGAGCTCGAGTTTCTAAATCTCAGATGGAATCAGGAAAGTGTTGAGGATGCCATAAAATAAATGAAAAAGCCCTTTCTTCACAGCTTCCCCAAATAGCATTAAGTAAGGGTGACTTCTGTTTCCCTTGAACCTAATTCACTGCAATTTCGTGTAAGTCTCAGGTTGTGTTCATGAGGAAAGTCTTTTGAGTTTAGGAGTCTGAGGAAGAGAGTGAACTGGCAGGGACAAGACATGTTCTTTTGCTGTGCCTTCCGTCACTGAGGGGCTGAACACAGCCTGAACTGAGGGTTGACTAAAATAAACTACCTAGGTTGCCCTTGGACTATGGTCAGAGTCTTCTTCTGTAGTGACCTTCATAACCAACAAGGCCTGCCTTGGACACTGAACTGCCTCCTGCCAAGAGCCTCAGTGAGAAGTGTCCATTGTCACCTGTGATTGTCTCCTCGTGCCATATCTATTTCCGTGGGGAATGGCGGTAGCCAGCTGATGATGCTCTTGTGAGGTCATCACGGCTGTTTGTGACAAGATACAAAGGAAAAAAGAATGGCTGGTTATATTTGATGAAGGTAAAGCTAAATGTTTGTTACCCAAATGCATTTTTTCAAGGTATTGATGGCACCTCCACATATACCAGTGGTGATCAGAAAACTATAAAGTCCACTAGGAAAAAAAACAGTGGGAAGACCCCACATCTCCTGCTAATGTTGTTGCCCTCCTACAGACTTGAGTCACAACAGTCCAACCGGCGGAAGAAGCGTGCTTTGGATGCAGCCTATTGTTTTAGGTAAAGGAAATAAAAATAAAACAAAGTAATTACATCTGTTAACTCTTAACACTGCCTTTGTCTTTTCTTACAAATTGACCTAAATTCCACTTGTTGCTTAAGGCCAGGTGTAGTACAGGAGAGCCATCATACCTCCTAAGAGCATTCTTCCCAGAGGCTTTAAACAGTTTTTCTGTGTGGTAGTCCTCAACCCCTTGCAATGCACCAAGTGTGAAGTCAGAAAATTTTTTCCCAAATCCCTCTGAAGTGCTTTGGGGTTGAAGAAGAAAATGAGCTCCCTGCTCCCCAGAGCAATTATAAGGTTACTTGAAGCGTATGATGGCGGACCCTTAATTGGAAAGACTCACCATCTGTATGAAGCCCTCACCCCCCCGCCCCACGGTAGAGTGCCCATGGCCATGCCCTTTTTCACAGAGATGAGAGAAATAGAAGAAGAATGCTATTTATTGTGTCATTAGCTACAGAATCTGAGAGAAGTGAGGGCAACACAAATTTATTTCCCACTCCTGAAAGAGTTCATGGAGGGGAGAGTACGAGTGTTCTCCTGGGGTTTCTTATCAAGCCTCATAAGAGGAAAGTTCTTTCTTTATTTTGAGAGCTATGGGGCAGTAAGGGGTTCTCACTGATAAAGTGCTCAAAGAGCTCATGAGTAAAAGGGCTTTTTTTGCTCGCCAGAGTCAGTGGTTGCACGAAGTGAAGTTCCACGTGTCTTGATCTCTGGCTCATTCCCAGGTCTAGGGACAGGAGATGAAATAATGGATTCGTTCTCAAAGGCAAATGCCTTAGATGGTTCTTTGAAAATGGCTGTTGTATTCCATTCATTTTGTATTTGAAAGGGCAATCGAGGCTGACTGGCAAAACTGTCCAGTGTTAGTTGGAAAGGGGGGATTGGTCTCTTCAGCCACCTCTCTGCTTCTATCTAGTCATTCAAGAGAAAGGTTTGACTTTCAAGGTCACAGCCAAGGGACACGGGGTATAGAATTCATAATGGAAAGTAGCACAGCAGGTCACCATGACATTCCATCGTGAAAGTCATTTGAGATTACTATAAAACCATTCAAACCTGGCCCATGATACTTGTTCATTGGATGCTGTTTGCATGAGTGAAGGAGTCATTTTTCTGACTTGGAATGAGGCATGGGGGGTGGGTGGGAAATCAGCTGTAAAAGCTCCACCACTCTTTCTTCTAACAGAAATGTGCAGGATAATTGCTGCCTACGTCCACTTTACATTGATTTCAAGAGGGATCTTGGGTGGAAATGGATACATGAACCTAAAGGGTACAATGCCAACTTCTGTGCCGGAGCGTGCCCATATTTATGGAGTTCAGACACTCAGCATAGTAGGGTAAGTATTTGGCTCCATCTCTTCTATTTTGGGATCTCTAACGTGTACCTGCTGATAACATGTCCAGTGGATTCTAATTAGCCTGGTGCCCGTTCATCATCACACATGAATGGGTACTGGAGAAATCCTTTTGAATGGGGGGTCAAGAATGTAGGGGGTAGGTGAAATCAGAAGTAACACTGATCAGTTTGAAAAGTAGATTTTACCTTCCCAATTCAATGATAAGCAACCAGAAGACCGTTTTGTTCATTTTTTCCTTTATTTTATATTGTAAGGGATTAGTAGCTGTAAAAAATCTTTTGGAATCAAAATATCACTTGGGGTCATGTACAGCTTGGATGTGAAGGGACCCAGGTCCCCATCTAAAAAAAGGAGCCGTCATCATCTGCATCAACGACTGTCATAGAGGAAAGAACTTTGAGGACCTCAGTTGATGCTTTGGCATAGTAACTCAGTAGTGTATGGCAATTAAAAAGTCATTTGACTTCTCTAAACCTCAATACCTCAATTTTTTGTCAGTAGAAAGAATGTTTATGTTAAAAAATGATCTTTAAAATAACAATGCCAAGCTCAAGAGTAGATATAAAGAGCAAACAGATGAAATAAGAGAAAATGATTTGAAAATTAGTATATCCACATCTTTTTTAATATACCCAAAGTACACAAGAATCTAAATATTTTGTCAAATTACTTCAGTGAGGTTAGAAGGCTAATTCAGAGGGCCAGTCCTAGGTGGGAGGCCATGGGTTAGTAGCCCAGATCAGCAAAGACTTTTTCTATGTAATAATGATGCTTGTCCTAATGCTTTTTCCTGGTACCTCATAATATAGGATTTTAGAGATGGAAAGGACTCCATAAATTATCTTGTCCAAACATTTAACTTTACTTAAAGAAATTGGGGTCTAGATCATGTAGGTGACTTGCCCAGGATCAAACAGTTGGTGACAAACCAAAACTTGGAACGCAGGCTTCCTTGTTTTATAACCAAGGCCTCCGTTTGCTCTGTCTTACTGAGTCTAATTCCTGAAATGTGGCTACACATTGAGGTTATGCCTCTGTAAATCTCCTTATTAAAGAGGCATTAGAAAAATTGCCTTCACTGCAGGGTAGGAAAATGGATCTGCTGCCAAAAGGATCACATAATGCACTCGGCTCAAGTCAAGAGTTTGGGGGTTATCAATTATTTTAGACAATCTGTAGTATAAAATTCCTCTTTAATTCATATGAAAAATCACGTGTTAGTAGAACATGAAGTCTATTTATTTATAAATGCCTACATATGCTAGGCTTTAAGTTGACAAATAGGATTCTCCTTCCTTCAGCTGTTTTCCCAACTCCCCTGTAGATTTTGGCACTCCCAGCTGACCATGTGCTTGGCCATGTGAGGAAAACTTGCTCATGCCTGTCCCTTTGTCTGAGCTCTCTGGCCAGGCTGTTTCAACTGGTCTGTGGCAACAGTAGCTATAATGTGGGCAAGGCCCCAGTGCCAAGTAGAAATATAATTCCCCTCCCTGATACACAGAGGGAGTGTGTGAAGGCTGAGACCATGCTTGTTTTTCAAGGAGAGAGGAAGAATAACTGTCATGGTCACAAATATGTGGTTTGGACAGTTACCCAAGAAGCCAGAGGTAGCTTAATAAAGTAGTCAGTGTTGCTGCACTGAACAGATCTTCTGTCTTCGGCTGAAAAAATCGCAGTGAATCTCGAGGAAAAGGTCACTTGCTGTTTGACTAACACATTAATGGCATCCTTGGAAATGTCTCTTTATCATCACTGGAGAACCTACATACTTCCATTGGTAAAAGTCCCATCCCCCTTGGATATAAAACGGAGTTAAGGATATGGGACTAACTCTAAAACTTTCTCTTCATTCCACTGTGGGACTGGCTAAAGCCCTCCAACTTAGACACTACCATTTACCACATGGAATCTAATGGAGGGTTGATTATTATTACCCTCGTGGTCTTAAGCGAAATGTAAGAAAGTGAATAGTTAAAAAGAGAGCTTGCTTTTAGTGTCATTCTTTTTTTTTTAAGATTTTTATTTATTTAATTTTGAGAGAGAGTGTGTGGTTGTGTGAGAGAGCACGAGCAGGGGGCTGGGGCAGAGGGAGAAGCAGACTCCCCAGGAGCCGATGCGGGACTCGATCCTAGGACGCTGGGATCATGACCTGAGCCGAAGGCGGACGCTTAACCCACTGAGCCACCCAGGCACCCTAGTGTCATTCTTAATTAACTCTTAACTGCTTAATGTTTTATCGTATTTATGAAACAATAAGAAATGAAAAGACTCATGTCTTTTTTCTTTTAAGCGAAAATGTAGGTGACATTAATTTGGCCCACAAAGACACAGCACAGAGAGGTTTCACATGCAGACAGGTGTTTTTTTTCTATACCTAAGGGTAGATTAAAGCTCTGATGGGAGTTGGAGAAGTGATTCTTCTACTCCTCCGTGTATTCGCTTCTTCACGGAGCACAACCGTCTCATATTGCCTTGTTCGGGCTATGAGGTCGAAACAAAGTCCATAGAGTCTCTGAGCTTAATGGAACTCTAACCTAGGTGGGAATTGGAAATAGACCCTCGGTTACAAGGAAGTGTAGACACCAGAGCAAATACTAAGAGGACCAAGTTTTTCGAGGGCCTGGCAAGCGTGTGCAGCAAGGCAGTGATCAAAGTCCAGAATTATTGGGGAAACTGTAAACTTTGTTGAATGAGCGATTTTGTGCAATCTGAGCCTTTACAAAATCATTTGTTTACGATGCAGGAGGAAAGGATTCTGTAGGAAAATGATGAATTCAGTGATTACTAGGAACACATATCAAGTTGACCATAATTGGGGGTTAAGAGAAGGAAATTGTAAACCAAAACTCGTTTAAATTGTCTCCTGAGTGCTGACGGATAAGGTAACACTATGGCTCTATGGAATGGTTCTTTTTAAAGTAATTGCCCTCCCCCCCCTTTTTCCCCCTATGTTCTCTTTCCTCTCCTATGTCCTTTCAGGTTCTCAGCCTGTATAATACCATAAACCCAGAAGCATCTGCCTCTCCTTGCTGTGTGTCCCAGGATTTGGAACCGCTAACCATTCTCTACTACATCGGCAAAACACCCAAGATTGAACAACTGTCTAATATGATTGTAAAGTCTTGCAAATGCAGCTAAGATTCTTGGAAAAGTGGCAAGATGATAACCCCGTGGTGCAGGATCAGGAGGAGAACAACGGCAAGAACAATGACGATGTTTGTAACAAGAAAACATAAGAGAGCCTTGCTTCAACAGTGTTAAAAATTTTTGAAAAAAGCGGTACTAGTTCAAACACTTTGGAAGTCTGTGTTCTGTTTGTTAAAACTGGCATCTGAAACAAAACAAAACAAAACAAATTGAAGGCTTTATTCTACATTTCACCTGCTCTGTAAGTGAGAGAGACAAGAAGCGAAACCTTTTTTTTTTTAAGAAAAAAATAAACACTGGAAGAATTTGTTAGTGTTAATTATGTGAAAGGAAAAAACAAACAAACAGGAAAATCCCATTAAGTGGAGTTGCTGTACATACCGTTCCTATCCCATGCCTCACTTGATTTTTCTGTATTGCTATGCAATAGGCACCCTTCCCATTCTTACCTTTAGAGTTAACAGTGAGTTATTTATTGTGTGTTACTATATAATGAACATTTCATTGCCCTTGGAAAATAAAACAGGTGTATAAAGTGGAGACCAAATACTTTGCCAGGAACTCATGGATGGCTTAAGGAACTTGAACTCAAACGAGCCAGAGAAAGAAGAGGTCATATTAACGGGATGAAAAACCAAGCGAGTTATTATATGACCAAGCAAGTCTGCAGTAAGATAAAGACCCCGAAAACACATGCTATGTGCCGACTGCCCAAGGAAGCTTCTTGTAAGGTTCAAAACTGAAAAGCCTGTTAATAAAGGAAACTTTCAGTCAGAATAAGTCTGTAAGATTTTTTTTTCTTTTTAATTGTAAATGGCTCTTTGTCAGTTTAGTAAACCAGTGACATGTTGAAATGTTTTGATACGTACCGGTCCAACTTCAGACCTTAAAGTATTGCCGGGTAGCTATGCTATAGGTTTTTCTTCGTTTCCGTATATGTAACCACACCTACATTCTTATAATAGATGAGGAGAGAAGCCAGTATAATTGGAAACACACCTGCAGATCTCTTTTGCAAACTATTAAATCAGAACGTTAACTACTTTACATGTAATGTGTAAATTTTTACCATATTTTTAATGTTCTGTAATAATGTCAACTATGATTATTTCGATTGGACTTAAATTGGGGCTCTTTTTAATGATCACTCAGACCTGTGTGTTTCCTTTAGCTGGCTAGGACTTTGAGGAAGGCCGCTGTAGTTTGACTTGCAGTACAAATACGTGTTTTAGAGTATTTGCTCCACGTGTGCTTTGTGCATTGTCCAATATTATGACATAAGCTACCTGAGTCCACTTGTCCTTTTGTTTTCCTTTTATAAAAAGGATCGACTCAAGTTCACTAGTCTTCCTTCATCTTCTAAGCATCATTACTAATCCATTCAGATGTTAACCATCTTCTATGTTAGGAAAATGGGACTATGATAGATGTATAGATCACTGAGCTGAAATATTGTCATTTTAGCAAGGGCCTCAGGATCTGACTGAGACTCAGAATCTTCGTGGCTGGGTGAAGACAGCTTTCTCCAACTTGGTTTCATCGGTATGTTCACAGAATTTTATGGTTTGTAGAGATCAGACAGTTCATAGGATATATCTTCTCCTTTAATCAGGTTTTTAGTGTTTCGGGGGGAAATGGAAAGATTGACATTTTAGTTGATTTTTTTTTTTAAGGGAGAAAAAAAAGCCCCGCTCAGCGTAAGTCACTTAGTTGATTTCACTAAAGTTAAGGTTTTCATAGATGTTCTTTGACGGTTGTTAGAAGTACAAGCCAAATATGCCCATGATCAAAAAATTCTGTTTTTCCCTCTGAATGAGAGTTCTCTAGATCTGAGGCTAGAATTTACCTTGCTTTAATAAATGAATGATTGGCCGTATCGTTGCAGAGAAGGTAACGTTCCGTCAAGGTTGATAGGAGATGTCAGTTTACCGGTTGTCTCTTCCTTAGCTTGAAGAGAAAAATTAATAGGCAAAACAATGGAATATTTACAGTGTCACCTAAAGGGCAGCATGGCGAGGTGTGAATCCAAGTGAAGTTATTTGATCTAGTAGACTTCTTGTCTGACATTTCCTGGCCGTTAATGAAATGACAAATTGGATTCACAGGTTTGAAAACTGGAAAAGCAAGAGAGGGGATGCCACGGTAGTAAACGACCCTCGTGTTGGGTGTGACCCGATCCCAGAAATTGAGTGTGTTGATTTTTTTCCTTCCATTTTCTATTAATTCTATGTAAATCACTTTTATTTCTGCAGGTATTTTCCTCTCAGATAGAATGACGTTTTGTTTTGTATTATTTTGTCTTTCCTCATGAATGCACTGATAATATTTTAAATGCTTTATTTTAAGATCTCTTGAATCTTTTTTTTTAGTTTGGGGGTTCTGTAAGGTCTTTGTTTCCCATAAGTAAATATTGCCGTGGGCAGGGAGGGAGGTGGGAGGGAATGGGAAGATGTTAGTGTACGGGTTGGGGGGTGGGGCGGCGGTTTTTATATGTTAAGCAGCAGTACAATTTCATGGTTGGCATGGTTTAAAAAAAATGGAATATAAGAATAGCTGTTTTGTATTTTGATGACTGATTACGCTGTATTTTAAACATGATGTATGTCTGTTTTGTGGTGCTCTAGTGGTAAATAAATTATTTCAATTGTATGTTGATGTGTTTTTCCTATCACGGGATTATCACTGAGACTAGAGAACACCTCTACTGCCCTGAGAATCATCTCGAGCTGGAAAAGTCCTACATCTTTAAGGTTGTGCTTTTATTCTCAAGGATACTCACTACAGAAATGTCATATTTTATAGCTCATGAGCCAGGACGTATCTACCAAGGACTGAAGAAAGCCCTGTGCAGTCTTTTTATTCTCTTGTTTATTGCCATTTGGTAATTGTTTGAGATTTAGTTTCCATCCAGCTTGACTGTCTACCAGAAAAAATGCAGAGAGTTGTTTGAACCATGCCTTGGCTTTCTGGTTCTATGTTCTGCCAACCCCAGGGCCAAAAGAACTGGTCTAGACAGTATCCCCTGTAGCCCCATAACTTGGATAGTTGCTGAGCCAGCCAGATATAACAAGAGCCACGTGCTCCTTGGGATTGGTGTTGGGAACAGCTACTCCTCTCCGTTTCCCCGGCCCACTGCACCGAAAAACCCTTATTCCCGCAAAGTGTTTTGGCCGTTTCCTTCAAGACCAGGCTTTGCAAGTGAGTTGCCAGTCTCGTAATAAATGGAACTAATAAAAAAGTAGCTGTGGCTCGAACTGGTTGTCTTGCTTTATCTGACGAAAAAAAAAAAAACCAGTTTGTGCCCATTGTCAAAACCTCACATAGGAACAAACCATCGATGCAAGTGTTTAGGTGGAATAGAAAATGGTCCCTTTTCTATGATCATCTGTGTTTCATCTCTTCTATCCTCAACTCACAGTTAAAGGAAGTGTTTTCACTTGAACACAGTTATTTTCTGCTTCTCTGCAGAGTGGCCAGTACCAGGCCTATCACCCCAGCCCGCATCACCTTCATGTGATGAGTAAGAGATGGAGGGTAGCAGGGTAATGAAGAGAGTCACCTAACATCAACTTCAGCAAGTTTGTCAACCACCCTGAGCCTTGTTTCTTTGTGTTTTAAGTGAGGAAGAGACTACCTGCTTTACAGGGGTTTGCACGTTTGTTTCTGTGTTCCTGTGGTTAAGTGAATCTACATATGAAAAGTATTTCCCTTGGCGTTTGGCCTATAGTTGATGATCAGTAAACTGTAGTCTTAATATATTTCTCAACTTGTTCTGTTTTTGGCTTCTTGGCAATTCTATTGTAATGAGGTGTTTATATTCAGACTGTAACCTGGGCCCATACTTCCCCGTCTTGAGAGTTAATGTGTAAACCCTCCAGACTCTCTCATAAATGGATCAAGCCATCAGTTATTTCTGAGAATATTCTGTAATTCTATCTGTTAAACTTTTGGTTACATGTCTGACCAGAAGTTGTTTAAAACAGTGGGGGAGATGGTCATGTAAATCTTTGCTCATGTCTACCAACTAAAAGTAAAAGAGACAAAGTGGCTAGCTGAATGACCTACTTCCTAAGATGATGACAGAACTGTGTGGTTTGCTGAGCACCTACCGGCTCCTGTTCTCTGTTAACCTATTTAACCTCACATATTACCTTGTGATGTAGGGGTTTTGTTTTTTGTTTTTTTATATAGCTCCATTTTGCAGGGAAGTGAGCAGATGCAGAATGGTTAAATCATGTGTCCAAGATCCCTCAGTTTGTAAGGGAAGGTTCTAGAATTTCATTGTCCAGTAAGTACACTAGCTTCTAGGTGTAGGCTTTCAAGCAGTTGAAATATGTCTAATCTGAACTGAGATATAACAAAGTGTAAAATACCCATCAGATTTCAAAGACAGTACCAAAACAAGAATGTAAAATGTCTCATTAATTTTTGATCTTGATTACATGTCTGAATAATACTATTTTGGATATATGGGATTAAATAAAGTATATTATTAAAATTAATTTCACCTGTTTCTTTTACTTTTGTGATACCATTACCATAAAATTTAAAATTACATATGTGGCTTCCATTTGTTACTTTGTGTTCTGTTTTTCTAGCATTGCTTTTTGGTTCTTTCTTAGGATTTCTGTCTCTCTGCTTACATTGCCCATCTATCTGTTCTTGCATGCTGTCTACTTTATCCTTTAGAGCCCTTAGCATATTAATCAAAATTGTTTTAAATTCTCGATCTGGTCATTTCAATATCCCTGCCAGATCTGATTCTGATGCTTGCTGCATCTCTTCAAATTGTGTTTTTGCCTTTTAGTATGCCTTGTAATTTTTTTCTTGGTAGATGACATACTGGGTAAAAGGAACCGCTACAAATAGGCCTTACTAGCTTAGTGTTGAGGTGGGAGGGGAAGCACTCTAGAGTCTCCTGGTGAGGTCTCAGTCTCAGTACGCCTCTGCCTCTGGACTATGAACTTCACAAGAGCCTCTCAGTTTTTTTTCTCCATCACCATTAGGTGGCACAGGATGGCTAGAGTGGGCTGGAGTTGGTATTTCCCTTCCCTCGGTCAGTTAGGCTCTGATACTCCAGCTAGTTAGCCTTTGGTTAATGAGTGTCCACTGAGAGGGGACCATGCTAAGAACAGAGCACTTGGGTATGTTTCAAAATGGCTCCTTGCCCCCTCCATGCTGGATGTACTACAAAATTGTTCTCCAATATTTACTCTGTGAATGTGGTAAAGCTCCTGGAGGTAAATATTAACCATATTGTGTCTCCCCGCGTGACTGGGTCCCCCCAGAGTTCTTAACTCTCAGAGTTGTTTGCACTGAGCTTTCCGCAATTCGTCAGTTATGCTTCAGGTTTTCCTAGCCCAGCAATGGTTCCTGCACTGGTTCCTGCTTGTGAGTCTCTGGTCTTGGAAGTTGTGATGGCCTGTATTTGCCTGTCTCTTTCTCCAGTTCTGGAGGCTGAAGTTTCTTCTCTTAGGGATCCAAGAAGACTTACTGATTTTTCGGTTTGTTCAGCTGACAGCGCTAGTTGTTAAGATGAAGTGGCCACTTCCCAGCTCTTTATATGCAGAACCAGAAACTGGAAGTTCTATTTCTTATTCTTATTCAACAGCTCTAGTGTAGAATTTGGAAGCAGCTCTCTTTAGAAACAAAGTCTAATCTCTTCCCCTCAGCTATCTGACCAGCTTTTGTTTTTGAAATTAACATGCGGTTGAATAATATTAGGCCAAACCCTCTGAAACTGGCTTTGTAGGTCATGATTTCTTGTATGTTGGCAG